GGTGTATGTGACTTAGAAATTAAATCTGTTAGCCATCCTGATAAGAAATGATGGAAAGATAGATTAAGAATAAGTATTTGTACCTTCCCAGAGCAGGCAGGGAATCCAATGAAATCTCCAAAGCAAAATGCTATTTTACTGTAAGGAAATGCTATTTTTCTTAATAAATTAAAACTCCTAACTTCCAGTGTTTATACAAAAAAGAAACTCTTCAGTGGGTATGGCTAGTTGGAGCACATGGCCCTCACCCTGGGTTTCACATTCTCTGCCAAGGAGGGCAGCTTGACGGGGAGGAAGGACTTGAAATTTTAAACCCAAATATGGGCAAAAGGTTCTTCCCTTGCTTCCTCATGCATAGGTAAGACAGATCAAGAAATTTTTATTTTTTATATTTTTATTTTTTGAGACAGTCTCTCTCTTTGTTGCCCAGGCTAGAGTGAGTGCCCTGGCGTCAGCCTGGCTCACAGCAACCTCAATCTCCTGGGCTCCTGAGGCGATCCTCCTGCCTCAGCCTCCCAAGTAGCTGGGACTACAGGTGTGCGCCACCATGCCCGGCTAATTTTTTCTATGTATATTAGTTGGCCAATTAATTTCTTCCTATTTATAGTAGAGACGGGGTCTTGCTATTGCTCAGGCTGGTTTCGAACTCCTGACCTGGAGCAATCTGCCCGCCTTGGCCTCCCAGAGTGCTAGAATTACAGGTGTAAGCCACCGCACCTGGCCAAGAACTTTTTAAATAGAGGATCAAAGCAGGAATACCACAGAGCCAGGTAATCTACATTCTGAATGTAGCTTGCTTTCTGTGGCCCATGGTACCCATCCTGAGGTACCCTAAGAGGAAAGAGGAGTCCTTGCCTATGTTTTTGGAGTCTGCTCCCCGACCTGCCTCCTTGTGGATGCACCCTTTTAACATCCATAGTCAGTAAGACAGTAGACCCCCTTATCCTCAGGGGATACGTTCCAAGCCCCTGTGGATGCCTAAAACTGTGGATAGTACCAGCCCCTATATATACTGTGGTTTTTCCTATACATAATACCCACGATAAAGTTTAATTTATAAATTAGGCCCAGTAAGAGATTAACAACAATAACTCACAACAAAATAGGGCAATTATAACAATGTACTTTAAGACAAATTATGTGAATGTAGTGTCTGTCTCTCTCTGTCCCTCTCTGTCTCTCACAGTATCTTATTATACTGTGCCACTGGTAACTTAAACCATGGAGAGCGAAACCTTGGATAGAGGGGCACTGTTATACTCTCCCTGAAACCAGCATTCTTGAAGTCCAAGCCAAGAAATTCTGCATCCAGCAGTCTACCCCTTGAATTACTATTTAATGATATCCTACTCTGCCAAGGATTGTATTAGATATTTTAAATACTTATCTCATTTAAATACCCTGTAAAATTTGTGTTATTGACCTCATTTTATAGAGGAGGAAACTAAGGTTCAAAAAGGTTTAACACATCTTTTTCCTAAGTGACACATGTAATTAAGTGATTGGGCTGGGCTATAAACCTGATTCTCCTGGACTGTAAAGTCCACATCGTTTCAAAACTCTGTAATACCTTTCAGTTTTAGAGTGCTGTCCTAGGAGGGTTTAGGTTTTCTTTTATTAAAGAAGAGAGAATCTCATTCGCCTATAATCCTATAGCTCCTAGAAGCTTCTGTATTGAAACATCCTGTTCTGAACGGTGTTCAGTATCCAGTCTTTGTCAGCCACTTGAAGACAGCTAACATAGGGAAGGGAGGAGAATATTGGAAACAGACTCTTACACTGGGGCTCGTGTGGGCAGCATTCATCCTCATCAGAAATGGCCAATCTGTTGCTTATCTGCCTTCCTCGGCACTGTGTAAGTTTTAATTATCTTCCAACTGTCTGAGCTGCTGTTGAGGACCTCTGTGAGAACAAAGGATATATATTACATTTTTCAGCAGTTCTCTTCTCTGCACACTGATGAATTCACTTGCTGCCACTGCCCTTATTATCAGGTTAAATCAGAGTCTGACTGTGCACTGGAGAGATGGTGCTGAAAAGGAAAAAAAAAAAAATCTTAAACTTTACCTGTTATTTAAGATTTCCTATAACTGAGAAAATGTGGTATCTACTTCACCTGTTTAGGTGTTATGACCCAGAACCAAGTTTTGCTTTGTTTTTCCAAAGAAGTAAAAAGAGAGAGAGGACTATCTCTCGTCCCTATTCTCTGGATTTTCAATAACTTGGGTAGTGATAACTTCTCTTTTACCTTTGGGCTGCTCCATGGCGAGCCCCTGTAAAGAAATTCGCTCATGATCAGGGATGGTCCCTGCACGGCCTCCTCCCCTCCAGTCATTGCTCATGGGTCAGGGCCCTCTTTCCCCTGAGCCCCTAGCGCCTTTGGATTCTGTGCCCCAGCTGCTGTTATCAGTTGCTGGTGTTGGGCTGTTAGTCAAAGCCTATTTGCCATGTCTAGATCTTTAGCATGGGGAAGAAGTGCAGGATATTTACAGTTTGCTTGGGGAAAAGAAGCATGGCTTCTTTCTTTTGATGTTACTGTTTTTTAAAATGTGTATTTGAGTAAGGACTTTATGCCATTTTTGTAAATTATGCTGTAATTTTATAGAGACTTAGTATGGTAGAACTAGAATAATTAAACTTGTTATGAGCATTACATATAACAGGCTAATCAAAAATTGTGATGTAAAGTGGTGAATTGCTAATTTGACCTCAGGATTATGTAGCAGAGATAACATTATCTTCATTTATATAGAATTTTTTATCTGGAGGCATCTCTCAGTGCTTTTCCAACCATACATATTATTTTGTTTATTATCACAAACACTATCATTAAGGCTGTAAAATGTATTCCAGTACAACTTTTTATTTTCAGTTGCTTATAACTGGGGGATGAGGGAGGGAAAGCTTGCATATTTTCTCCCATTCCTGATATTTACACTGGGTAAAATTTAGGAAATGACTGTTACCTAACCTTGGAAAACCTGGTTCTATGTACTGTTTTAAAAAGAAAGAAAAGGAGAGAAGGAACATTATTGCATCCCCTTAGGTCAGCCTGGACTATATTAACCTTAAGAATCGCCAGTGGGGAAAGGCCCTGTTAGTCACTTCCTTGCTCTTTTGTGCACATTAGGAGAGCTGTGTCTCCTCTGGTAGAGACCTGACCTAGAGAATAGGAAAATGGTCTGATCAAATTCCACCAAACCACATCCCCTCTATTCCCTCCAAGGTTGCAGACAGCAGCACTCAGGCTGTCACGGCCGTGCACGGTTGAAAATGCTATGCCGGTTGAGTTCCTGTGGGTTTAAAGATATGGACAAAATTAGATTCCAACCAAGGTGCCTGGTTTAACACACCCCTTCCCTTCCATAGAGTGCCAGGGAGATTGTCACTGCCAACAGTAAAGAACAATACAATCTGTACTACCATTAAGAACTTACTTTAAATGAATCTACCCACCCACCCAAACCCAGTAAAGTCAGCACCTTCTCTCTGCCTTGAGGGCTCAAGAGATTAGGGCCAACCTGCTGCTTCACCAGAGGGCTCTGGTTTTTGTAGCAGTTGCCCTGATTCTTAGCACAGGAAGAGTGGAGTCTCCTTGCCATGGGTGTGAGCACGCTGAACAGCCAGTCCAGGAGATAGCTTTAATATTGGTTATGAAGATGAGTGATCAGCTCGTGTCAAGGAGCAGATGGCTAAATGAGGTACTCAGGGAATGCCATGAGATTCAGGCTTGAAGAAACAGGAGGGAAAATAGCCCATGATATAAAAACCCCAAATATAGTCTCCTTAATGTGAATTTCCTAAATCAGCATTTACATTATACAGTTAACTTGGAGTGATGAGAAATGTAAGGAAATTACCGAATTAGTGAACACCAATTAACTCAGAACTAAAATTATATCATCTAAATTGAAGGTTGTTTTACACAGCAGAGGGGAGGATATTACTAAAACCTTGCCCAGTCTGTCATAGCCTAATTGAAATCTGTTCATCTAATATACCCTATCCTTCAGAGTGCATAGTTCATGATTTGGAAGAGCATTATCAGTTAATCTAGTTATTTTCCTGGTTCTTCCTTTGAATTCTGTAAGACAGTATGTGGCACATTCCCCATGGAATTGTGTGATGCTCAAAAGAGTGAGTTTGTCTGTTCATTAACCTGTGAACTGTCAGGTCCCTTTGGAGAGTGAAGAGAGCAAGTTGCTCCGAGGTTAGTGCTGGTTTGTTGGAGATGAAGCCTCCAGGGAGGGCGAACAGGCCAGGATGCTCAAGGCCTGCCCTGTGAAACTCTGCACTGTGTGCAGATGCCAGATTCGTGTGGCCAGGAGGGAGGCTGCAGAGCAGGCTGGGCCCTCTCTGCAGATCACTTCCTCTGGTCAGGAGCAGGCTTCCCAGCAGTGAAGTGGGGGGGGAGGGCTGGCGTAAGTATATAAGGTTAACTTCCTAACAAGTTTTTAGGAGCAATATTAAAATAAGAAACTGTGAGTAGTTTTCAGTAGTTTCTGGGATTTTTCCTTTTAGAAAAGAAAGCAATATTGATTTCATGCATTTGTTTGCAGTGGATGAAATGTTCCGTTGAGTCAGAAAGCATTTGCTTTTGCCTGTATTTGTGTACTTGTGCACAGGCACTTTCCTAACCATTCAGCGAGGGTAGAAGCTGTTTGGTACTCTCCAGTGTAAATATCTTAGGGACATATAATTGAACTGACATTCAAGGGTTCAACTGAACAGTACCTAGTTTGATTTCTAAGTAAACCAAATCTAAGTTTTATTTAATACTTAATTCTCTAGGAAGTGACATCTCCCTAATTTTACTGTAATTCTTCCAGGCTCAGTTGGAGCTTCCCTAAGGAGCAGGTGCAGGGTCTGAAGTCAAGTACAAAGTCTCCTTTAGTCCATATCCTCATACACTGTATGTTTAAATGTATCTTATTTTTTATCCTTGGATTGGTTGTATGGAAGCTTATTTTCAACAAATTTTCTTTTCTTTTTACCCTCAGGTATATTCGAATCGTTGGGACTCACAACACAGTGAACAAGATTTTTCACATTGTGGCTTTTGAATGTATGTTTACAAATAAAACCTTCACTCTCGAGAAGGGACTGATAGGTAAGTATTGCAATTACATTTTTGAATATATACTTAGATATTTTATCTTCAAATATTTTGTTTTTCCATTAATTCATCTTAATCAGCTCTAAGGACTTTGGTTGATTCAAATGCCTTATGGCTGAGGTGACATAGGGGATGGCTTACATTTTTAGAAGTAGTCAAAATAATAATTTCAGAAAACTTTAAAAATGAATATAAGTGTTATACTGGTAGTTAGGAATTGCAGATATTTTAGTGATTCAATCACACTTGCTAGGTAGGGAATGCTTATGATAGTCAGGCAAAGCCTTTCCTACAAAGAGTTTTTCTATATTTAATGGTAGGTGAGTTCAGGTAGGAAGTCTATATAACATTGATCAGATATTCATACTTTCCAAGGCTATGCAGGTATTTTGGGCTTTGATTTGATATGAATGGTGTGCTCACCTGGGGGAGTTTTTTCTTTTCTTGGATGTATGAATCCATATTTGTCCAGTGTAGCCAAATTTACCTCAAGAAAGTGCCTCCAGATAATTTAAATGGAATGACTGAATTATCTTTGCAAAATTTAGGTTATTGGGTAGAGAAATACCGTGTGACTGATCTTTGGAAAGGGTATTTCTAATTTTGGTTTAGTTGGTTGTTTGATTTCTGTTGTGTTTTGATTTTGTTTCAGGTAATATTTAGTCTGGCCACTGTGTACAGTCCTTCCCCGGTCTTGACAGTCTGGATATCATGAGTGGCTTTTCCCATCTAGACTGATTGTTCTGCCTCTCTTTTCCCATGCCCATGGGTTTTTATTCATTTCCTGTGAAGATCGTAGTTAGACCAATTTGATCCTTGAATTTGTACCATTACTGCAGCTTCTTTGAGAAGGGACTGTGCATATTCAGGTGTGGGGGATAAGCTGCCCCTGCCTTGTATTACCTAAAATAGAATTCTGTGCCTTTGCAAAGGAACTCATGTTTCCTCTCCTTCTCAATTTCTGTCCATACTGGGACACATGTTCATACTGACGTATGTCCTACAAATGTGGTTATAACTATAATGGGAGAGATGAGTTTGCTAATTCTTTGAAAAGTCATAGCCTAAATGTTCCTAACACCTATTGTGTCTCAAACATAATCCTTTATTTAGGGAAATTTAGGAGAGTAATATTAATAAAGTAGCAGGAGTGGAAATTTTCCAATGTATAGAGAGCTTTTAGAGCTCAACTAAAATGATTATTTTGATTTTAATTTTGATATGGATATAATTTTAATATTAAATATAAAGGTTAATAATTTTGTGACTTTAATTTGAAAGTAAACATTTTTTGAAGCATTATCTAATATTATGGTCTTTTAATTCTGTAGGGTGTATGGAATTATGGTATGGAGGGTAGTGGGAAGGGCACATTTTTCACCTGAGTTCTTCTGTAGACTGTAGGCCTCATTGTGTATGTGATTGTGTAGTTAAGAGAGTCCTCAGTGAAAAGGATCTAAGACCCTTCAGATTCACAAGATGGGTAGCATCTGGCTACTCACTTCAGCCCCATGCACTTCAATTTTGAACATGCTGCATAGAAGGTGCCATGTACATAAATTAGTTCCCCTTTCTTTCCGGAGGAACAACAGGTTTGTGGACACTGTAATTATCAAAGAAACAGGCCTATCTGGCGTGAAAGCCTGTTAAAGAATGAGACTGAGGATCGGTTGTAGCGAGGGATGCTGATGTTGGTCTGCATGTTTTGTCCAAACTGAGCTAGTCAGCATTGTCAGAAGCTGTAATAGTCTCAGACGTGTCAGGAGACGAAAGAAGATTACAGAGATATAAGAAGTGTTTTTGGAGTCTGGTCACACACTTTTCTTCAAGCTTTTTTCTGTGATGCTCACTGCAAAGACCACTGCAATCATCTGCCTGTCTGTCATTGTCCCTCAAATGGGAGCAGTGGTGCAGGTAGGCAGATGTGTACATGCACCTGCCAGCACATGGCCTGTAGAGGGATCTCCCCTGGCCCTCCTTGGGACTGTCTTCACAGCTTAAAGCTGCCCCACGCTGGGCAGTGGTGTGAGTGGTGAGGGAGTTCATGAGTATCTCATCCCATGCCTGATATTGCAGTTCTGTTTACTGTGCTGTTTAAAACAGTAATGGTCAGCTTTCCATGTTGATTATTTCAGGCACAATTTAGGAGCACATAGGCCTTGGCTAGCCACTCCATGGGGACCTTTTAGAAAGGAGTGGTCCTCTAGCCAGGACACTGATAAGTTGAATCACCTGAAGTTATTTTTAAATTCTAGATGCATACTTCTTACTCCTTCCTATGTCCTGTGAAATGTGCAGTCCTCTCTTGAGAACCACTGATATAAACTCTAGATTTTCATAGGAAAAAGGAAAGTAAAACTAAAATAATGTCATCTTGAGTCTCAAGCCTACTTTTATGTTTCTAGATTCAGAACCTCTTTCGTTCACAGTTCCTGGTCTTCCTTTCCCAGTTCAGGCTCTTCTTATTATTCCTTTATAGGCCTTAAAAATGACTTTAAAAATATTTGAATTTTTTTAAATCAAATTTTAGTATTATTGTGTAGAGACATACCATGGTGAATGTACCTGATCTCGTCTGACCTTGGAAGCTAAGCAGGGTTGGGTGTGATCAGTGCATGGATGGGAGATTATTAATGTTGTTACTTAAAATGTATAATAATGCCAGGAAATAACATAAATAAAAATAACCACATTAACAATATGAAATTCTAGTCTTCTTTAACTATCAAAAGATTTCTTTCCCATTTTTTATTTATTTTGTAGAGTATCATTTGATCTTTTGGGTAGATGCCCAGTAGTGGAATTGCTGGATCAAATAGTAGATCTACTTGTATCGCTTTAAGGTGTCTCTATATTGCTGTCCACAGAGGTTGAACTAGTTTGCAGTTCCACCAGTAGCGTAGGAGTGTTCCTATCTCTCCACATCCACTCTAACATTTATTGTTTGGGGACTTTTTGATAAAGGCCATTCTTACTGGAGATAATTGATATCTCATTGCAGTTTTGATTTGCATTTCTCTGATGATTAGAGATGTTGAGCATTTTTTCATCAATACATGAGTGAATTAATAAAATGTGGTATATGTATACCATGGAGTACTATTCAGCTTTAAGAAACAATGGTGATATAGCACCTCTTGTATTTTCCTGGATAGAGCAAGTATCTCAAGAATGGAAAAATAAGCATCACATGTACTCACCAGCAAATTGGTATTAATGGATCAACACCTAAGTGGACATATAGGAAAAACATTTATCGGGTGTCGGGCGGGTGGGAGGGGGGAAGAGGGGATGAGTATATACACACATAATGAGTAAGATGTGCAACATTTGGGGGATGGTCACGCTTGAAGCTCTGACTTGAGGGGAGAGGGGTGGCATGAGCAATATACGTAACCTTAACCTTTGTACCCCCATAATATGCTGAAATAAAAAATAAAGACATTAATTAATTAAAAAAAAAAAGTTTCTTTCCCATTTTTGACAACAGCACATCCGTCCTCATGTTCCTTCATTTGCACAGATTCATGGGGATGTAAATTCCTCCAGGTTCATATATCCATGGGAAGGGCCCTAGCTCAATCATATTGCCCAGAGCTGGCCCCTTTTCCCATCCTTGCTGCTGCTCCCATAGCCCCTTCTCATTTGGTGGCTGTGTCTAGATCTTGCTGGGATGTATTCTCCTTTGGGAGAGCCAGCCTATGATGACTGTCTCTTCTCTGTTAGGTGGCATTTATAGGAAATCCTAACCTGTCTTACCAATGAAGCATGGAAGAAACAATTAGAAGAGTTGTGACCACTATTTTGTAAATCCCAAAGAATGTGTTTGTTTTACCTCTGCAATCCAGTCTGTGATATATACATAGCATTTGCCAAGTCCTTCTACTTTTTCATAATGATTTCCAAATCTTCCTTTTCATTTAATTTTGTATTTAAATTCACTTTTTTTATTGTTCTACTAGTTATCCAAGTAGAGAGAATGGTTCCTATCACCTGGCTTTAAAGAACTAGCAATTCATAGCTTACCTAGTTTTATCTGTATGTGATTTATCAGATTATTTTGATGTCAGTCTCAGACGTTTTATCATTTCATCCATAAATACTTCATTATCTCTAAAACTAAGGCCTTCTTTTTGTAGCCATAATCATAATACCATTATAGTACTCCACGGTTGAACAGTAATTCCTTAAGGGTATTAAATATCCAGTCAGTCTTCATATTTCCCTAATTGCTTCAAAGTCTGTAGTGAGAATATGTGTTTTTATAGGTTGTTTAAATCAGAATGCCGATAAGGTCCATATTATGCAAATAGCTGTTGTGATTCTTAAATCTCTTTAAATCTGTAGTTTCACTTCCATTCACTTGTCTGTCTCTATCTTTCTCTCTCCGCCCCCCCACACCGCCTCTTCCCCCCGCCCCCCCGCCCCCATCTAATTATAATTCATTTGTTCAAGAAGCTAGGTTTTTGTCCTTTAGAGTTTCTAACAGCCTGGGTTTGGGTCATTGAATCCTCATGGTAATGTTTAGCTTGTTTATCCATTGCATTTCTTGTAACTTGGTAGATAGAGGCTTAATCAAATTAAACTATTATTTTTTGTAATGACACTCCCCAGGTATTGTTATATGTTATCTCTCAAGAAGCTTAGAAAATCTCTGGTTGTCTCTCTCTTTTAGATGTTCACATCCATTGATGATAATTTCCTAGATCCACTATTTCATAATTTTGGATTGCAAAGTGGTTATATTCTAATTCTGCCATTCCTTCTGCATTTAGTTGCAGAAAGAGAAAATTTTCCTCAACAGTCATTTGGCAATCCTGAGAGGCAATTTGTCCAAGAAAAGAAGAATAAATGTTACAATCTTTCCTTTTATTGACCAGTTTTCAAACTGAAGAGGTGATTCTCTAGCATCCTCCAAAAGTAACCAATAAGATTTGTTTCTGGAGTGTTTTTAGGGACAGGTGATTATATTTTCAATTTATAGGATTAAAACA